AAGAAAGAAAGAAAGAAAGAAAGAAAGGAAGGAAGGAAGGAAGGAAGGAAGGAAGGAAGGAAGGAAGGAAGGAAGGAAGGAAGGAAGGAAGAAAAAGAAAGAAAGGTATCTTAAGAAAGGCAAGTTAGATGGCTCAGAAGTATAAGCACTTATTTCTCAAGCCTTATGCTTGATTCTGATCCCAGGACCATCCGCCCAAACAAACAAACACACAAACAAACAAACAAACAAAATAACCCTGGTGAGGTAGCATAGATTTTTAATCCTAGTACTCTCATACAAGACTGGAAGATGCAGGTCAGCTATCCTGGAATTAGGAGCACACAGCAGCAACAATCCTGCCTTAACAAGGAGGAATGGACAAACAAACTCCTGAAGGTTGTTCTTTGACCTCTATATGCTAAACAAGGGTGAAGGGCATATATGTGTGCATGCATGCATTAACACGCACACACACACACACACACACACACACACACACACACACACACACACACTCTAGTACATACATACTAAATTAAGAAAAGTAATATCTTAACTGAGATGTGCTATAAGTACACACTAGATTTCAAAGAGTTAGTGTGAAGAATTTTTAAACTCTCTGAAAATCTTTAACATGAACCTAATGCAACTGTTAAAAAAACCCTCTATTTTGATTATAGAGGATAAAATAAAACATAATGTTAAAATATAGTTCACTTGCCTCATTTTATAATTTTAATGTAGTCATAAGAAAAATTCAAATTCTATTACCATTGCCAACACTTGAAATCTACTCATGTATCCAGGCTTGCTTCCATGCAGAAGGAACAAGTCTCAGTATCTTGTACTCTATGAGTGAACAGAGCTGCCCAGAAAAGGCCTGGGAGAATAAGTTAGCAAGACTCAGAATGTGGATTCCAGGAAGCTTCTGGGAAGATAGCCTTTCCTGGTACCTTGAGTATGGTGTAAATTTGGATTAGAATAATGGAAGTGCTATAGTCTCAGGCTTACATTTTTTCTGGGAGAAATGATTGGGATGCTCGTTCTCCCAACTCCTGTGAGTAAGGTTAATGTCCTCTTAGACTTTCTTGGCTTTTGTTTCTTTATTTTGAAAATGTTTTCTATTTCTAATCAGCACATAAAATAAAACACATTTAATTGATATTATTTTATTTTTATATTAGTATAATTTTTGTTGTGTTCAAAGTAGTTTAAGCATGTGTATTGCCTCAAACATTTATCATTTCTTTATGAATAAACATTCAGAATTCTATCTTTTAGGTTTTCTTTAAATATTAATATCATTTTATCATTGAATAAGCTTAATACTTCTTCAAAAAATAAACCAGCACATTACATCAGACTTAACTTATTTTTCAGTCCTGAGAAATGAACAGTAAAAACTACTTATCTCTGTATTGACTACTTTTCCTCTTCTTTTAATTGAACTTACTAAGCCATAAATGACTTTTTGATATAACTATCACTTAGTCAATACTATTAAACACATTTTCAATTGAGGGCTACTAGAAAACAAAATAGAAAAAAAGAAAAAGAAAAAGAAACTGACTTGACCTTAAAATTCCACTGCAAATTACATCTACCAGAAACATTTCAGGAACCTTTTAGAACATAACAAAACATCTTCTAAAAGTAATGTTTATGCCTTGCTTTCTAGGAACAAAGATACTTAAGGAGTTTAAAAATTTAAAGATATCACATATCATTGAATGCCAGTATATTACTTTCCCATTGCTTCATGCTATAACTTTGAAATAGTATTAAGTCTAAATTTGCAAAACATCTTCTTAGATTAGATAATCTAAATTCATTATATTTTGAATGAGTTTTAGCTTATGATTTTCCAGAAAAAATATGCAATATCTCTAATTCCAAACCAAATCCATTTTCCACACCACCAAGTTGACAAGAAAAGGTGAACACATACTCACACTATAGAGACCAGCATGGGAAGCAGAGACGGAGGTTGAACTACTCCACTGTGTTATCAGATGCTTCAGTTGTCACATTCTAAATCTGTTGAAAGGTAAATAATCAAGGAGATTAGTTAAATAGCCTGAGTGTGCTACATGGACATAACCAAAAAATGGTAAGGGATCAGTTACCTCACCTTATAAACATATACCTTTTCATACATTAATATTCTTCCACCTACTCATTGTTTTCTTTTTAGTTCTTAGGCAAATGCTATCAAAACACATACAAAATACCAGGAGTGATTGGTATTTATATAATTTTTAAAGAATTAACCTCTCTAAGTATAAGGGATTGAGTAAATGTTGATAATCAAGTGCATACATTTCACAAAATACACATTCATTGTGTCCATTAATAATAGTATAATTGTGTCCACAGGAAAAAATAAAATAAAATAAAGTTACTAAATTGTCTAAGTGTTTTCATTGTATGGATGGTTAGTAAAATAAAGGTCTAATTTTGAGATGACTTACATAAGCGTCCTTCATTTTCAAGCTAATATTTGTCAGCCAACCTACATGGTTCATATAAATAAAGGGAACTGTTTTCACATTTTTCTTGAATTAGTCATTTTATTGTGAATAAGACTATAGTTAATTAAAAGACAGGAAGTTGACTCCCTTGAATTCAATCACACTAGACAGCAACAAATATCTTCTTAAAATTTAAAGAAGTTTTTCAGTGTAGCTACAAGAAGCTTCAAATGTAATTCTGCGACAAGATTCCTCTCTTGCCGCAGCTTTGGGATTACTGCTGTGTGCCACCAATTCATCAGAACAATCATCTTCATCTTACAGAATACAAGTTAAAAGCAGGAAACAATTCAGATTTCACCTTAAGATAATACCTCCTTAAATTGCACTGCATAGATTTATGTCATATCTAAAATATGTTTTCTTATAGAATCAATAAGTTGTTTATCCTTAGAGGCCACTAATGCTATTTTTAGATGCCTTGCACATTTATACACACAAATATATACACACATAAATACATACACTACTTGCATATACCCATCACACACACATACATATACACATATAGATATGCACACATGCATACACATACATATACACATTTTACACACACACACACACACATATAACATGTTCCAATGCCATGTTTAACAAAACCTTAAACTTGGCACCCCGGAAATTAGTGTACTTAAAGAAAAAATTTCTTTTGATCTTAATGAGGAGTTATACAAGGTCTTCGGTTATGTATACTGAAGATGAAGATAGCTTAAATTTCTGTCAAATTTAGTGCTCACTCTCTAAAGGTATACCCTTTAATCTTGGTTCAAACCCATTTTATGAAAATATAAATATGAAGAAATGTTCTGTCTGATAAAAATGAAATCTCACCTAAATGTTCTTCTTTTTTTTTTTTTTTTTCAAATATACCAGAGAACGGAGATGTGTTGCTTCATAGTTTGCAACATTTATTCAGGGTGTTGTGGGAGCCACATTCTAAGAGGCTGTCATAGGGAAGTTTTGTTTCCTACAATTTTCACAGTCATGATAATTCAATCCTCTCATGTGTATTAGGAATTGGGAAGTCCTGAAGCTCACAGACAAATGCAGACCTGACATCACAAAGCCTTGTTTGTTAACTGTAGACTTCAATTGCGCATGGCTCCCTGGGAATCATTTTAAAGGCTATTGTGCTTAGGTATCTACTTTCAGTATTGTTAATGCCTCATATTACAAAAGAATAATGAAAGTGCTGTAGTGGGTAGAATTTCTTCTTTAGAAGTGTGTTACCTTGTGTTTTGGGCTGCTGAAAGGGTAAAAACACAAATCAATATTTTATTTTCATAAAGCACTCAATGTGATGCTTGTAACGCTTGACATAAAGGTTACTAATAAAGAGGAGGGTTCAGTTTGGGAATACTAGTCTCATGGAGCAGGTCTTGTTTGAACTTAAAGGATCTGATCTCACATTTTAGAACCTCTGAGTTGAAAAGTAGATGCTATCAAAGACTGCAGGTCAGAAACAAATAATGCATATTCAAACACACACACAAAAAAGTCACTGTATCTGTACCTTATGCAGTGATGGGAAGTGGGGGCTAGATGGGCCAGTTGCATCATATCATGGAGCCTCAAAGTTCATTCTAAGGAGCTCAGATTTTTCTCAAAGCACTGTGGGATAGAGGGAGGTGGACTAGACGATTTGATTTGATTTGATTAAAATGGAAACCATGGCCAGACAAAAAAGCCCATTGTAATCATTCAATGGAGGCAGTTAAATTATTGATATTTCAATCAGAGAAGATGTTTGGATTTGTGAGATAATGTAAATTTGATTAATTTTATCATTTCTTCTCATTTTTAATTTTTTTCATTTTATGTGTATGGATATTTTGCCTGCAAACATATCTGTGCAACTTATTGTGTGTCTGTTGCCTATTGAGACTAAAAGTGTTTAGATTCCAGGTTCAGATTCCCTAGAACTGGAGTTACAGGGGTTTCTGAACAGCCATATGGAAGCTGATACTTAAATATGAGTTATTGGAAGATCAGCCAGTACTAGTAACCACTGAGCCATCTTTCCAGAATCAATTTTACTATTTCCTCAATGTAAATATATTTTTTAGATTTATATAGTGTGTGTGAATGTGTGTGTGTGTGTGTGTGTGTGTGTGTGTGTGTGTGTATGCATGCATTCATATGTGTAGATGTGAGTGTGCATGTACCACAACATATATGTGGAGGTCAATGAACAATTCATGTGACTTGGTGCTTTGCTTCCACTATGCGGTTTCTGGGCCTCAAAGTCAGGTCATTGGGTTTGTGGCAAAGCCCTTTTATCTTCCAGGACACCTTATGGGTCAAAGTATCGATACATTAAAATATGTTACTTCTTTTCTATATATAAATGTTTGAATAATAGAAAGTGAATATTTACACAGGACACTAAAGCACATTTGAGTAAAATTTACAAAGGACAAAAATACCTGTTAGTTTTACATTTTTTCATTTAATGTTCACTTAGTTGACCAAAGAGACGGAAAACCATTAATCATAGCACTACATTATATATAAATCAAAAGAATAGGAAAGGAAATATTACATTGAAGAAAAACTTTAGAGGACATTAAGTGATGTTTCCGGTACCATCTTTGGTATATTCAAGACTCCATTCTGTTAATAGAACCATACCCCATGATTTAAATCACTAGATGTGATTAAAGGACAATGACTTTTGAACAAATAGTGACAATTACTTTATGCCATCTATGGTAATAAATGAGATTTGCTTCCAGAAAAGGTCACAGAGTCAATTCCTGTGGCCGTACTTCAAATAGAATTTTATGGCTTCACAATTACTCAACTGGGTCTTTAAGCCCACATTAATTCAACATCCATTCTTCTAAATGCCTTCTATATAACCGAGGGTGGCTGGGTGCTATGAATATCAGGGTTGCTAACACATTTCCCTTGCCCTTGAAAGGTTCATATCTAGGGAAAGAAGGAGAGGAAGAATAATGAAGAACTTTGTACAAAATGTTTGTCTGGGGACACAAATGGAGCAGTGCTCCATTTTCCCTGGCAGGGACTTAATAGAAAATACACTATGCCTGGTGAATGTTCAGTGGTGACCCACAGTGCAGCATGCTCAGAGACAAGAAGGAAGAATAATAGAGTATGGGACTAAAATATCATTTGACATTAGAGGAGCAGAGACATAGAAAGTGCAACAGAAGACACTCAAGAGGCAGAGAAGTGAACATGGGCCCAGCTACTAGAGAGCTTGAACCTATTGACACTAACACCAGTAAGTAATTAAACAATATTTATAATATATAGGCAGTTTTACGGTGTGTGTGTGTGTGTGTGTGTGTGTGTGTGAGAGAGAGAGAGAGAGAGAGAGAGAGAGAGAGAGAGAGAGAGAGAGAGAGAGAGAGAAACAGTCTATGGTCTATGTTCTTTCCCAGTCCTGTAAACAATTCTGTGCATCAATGTTATTCCTATATAAAGAACATTACATGTTCAGACACTAAGTATCTCTGAAAGGTGTCTTAGTTAGTGTTTCTATTGCTATGAGGAGACACAGTGACATCAGCCACTCCTATAAAGGAAAACATTTAATTGGGGCTGGCTTACAGGGTTAGAGGTTTAGTCCATTATTGTCATGGCAGGAAGCCTGGTGGTGTGCAGGCAGACATGATGCTAAAAAAGGAGTCAAGAGTTCTAAATTAGATTGTCAGGCAGCAGAAAGAGAAAGAGCCACTGGGTTTGGCTTAGGCATCTGAAATTCCAAAATACACTTCCTCCAACACGGCCACACCTCCTAATGGCACTCCCTGAGCATTCCAATATAGTTTATAGGGGCCATTCTTATTCAAACCACCACACCAAGTTCAGCAAAATAAGCAGTATAGCTACACTGTAATCCAGTAAGCTTATTCCAGAGCCCCACTCTTTATCTGCACGTCTGCCTCAGGATCAACATGTGATGCCTTAAAGCAGTGGTTCTCAACCTGTGAGTTGTCCCTCAGTGGGATCAAATGGCCCTTTCACAGGGGTACCTAAGACTATCAGCAAACATATATTTACATTACAATTCATAACGGTAGCAAAATTACAGTTAGGAAGCAACAAAAATAATTTTATGGTTGGGGGTTACAAGAATATGAGGAATTTTATTAAAGGGCTGTAGTATTAGGAAGGTTGTGAACCACTGTCATAAAGGGTTCCTTCTGTATAATGAACATGGAAAAAGAAACAAACAAAAACATCCTCATAATAGATAAATGTTGGTCTTCCCTTTCTACTAAGCACATATGACTAACAATCATGGCCGTAATAGCACAAAAGCAGGCGATGAGGAAGAAGTGTGTGTGTTTCTTCAGCATTCTACCTTGAAACATACTTTGAGATGCATATTCTAAAGATCATCTCAGTTGGTCTATTTCTTGATGACAGGTTATAGAAGGTATGGTCATGGGAGGAGCTTTTGAATTCTGATAGCTTCTAAAATAATTTTTGTTAATTAGAATTGGAACTTCTCAAAAGGGAGATTTCCTTTTCCCT